AACAATGCTATAACCACAAAAGAAGTAGACCATTAGACAATATTGAATACATAAACTAGTGATAAAAACTATGAAGCAATCACGGGTACAGTGAATTTTCAAGAATGACATCTATTTATTTTTATTTTATTTGGTTTATCAAGCATGTATGAGAAAACAAGTGTAAGTATGAATATAACATATAAACATAAAAGTATAAGCAGGTGTAAGTATATGCATAAGAAATGCATACAAATAAATGGGAATAGTAGGACGGAGATAGTAGGCACGCTGGTGCGCTTATGCATGCCCCCTTACAGACCTCTTAGGAATGGGGTGAGGTCCATGGTAGACAGTTTAAGATTAAAGTTTTGGGGGTTTGAGGATGTAATAATAAAGTCAGGTAGTGCATTCCAGGTACTGACCACTCTGTTGCTGAAGTCGTATTTTCTGCAATCAAGTTTGGAGCAGTTTATTTTGAGTTTGTATTTATTGTTTGACCATGTATTATTGGGGTTGAAGCTGAAGTAGTCATTGATAGGTAGGCTGTTGTAGCAGACAATTTTGTATACTAAGCTTAGGTCAGACCATAGGCAGCATAGTTCTAGGTTGTCCAGGTCCAAAATTTCAAGCCTAGTGGCATAAAGTATGTAGACAATACTCAGTGTGCCCAATATGGTTTTTTTCACTAATGTAATTTTCTTTCGTTGCATACTGGGTAACTAGCTTCAATTTCCTTAGTCTCTTATCTATCACTGATCACGGATCTGAAACAAACCAACTAACTCTCCTCCCCCCACCACCACCCATTTGCTCTATACTATTTTTAAGGATCCTATTTCCCTTATTTCCCATAGAATCAAAATCAAATGAAGTATTAGTACTGCTTTATAAAATCTTAGTAAGACCACATCTGGAATACTGCATCCAGTTTTGGTAACTACATTACAAAACAGATGTTGAAACTTTGGAAAAAGAGCAAAGAGGATAATTAAAGGACTGGAGACAAAAAAACACATGAAGAACAGTTGCAGCATTTGGGTGTACCTAGTCTGGAGAAGTGAAGGACTAGGGTGACATGATAGCAGTATTCCACTATTTGAGGGGTTGCCACAAAGAAGAGGGGGTCAACTTATTTTCCAAAGCACCGAGAAGGCAAAGCAAGAAACAATGGATGAAAACTAATCAAGGAGAGAAGCAACCTGGAAGTAAGGAAAAACTTCCTAACAGTGAGGACAATTAACCAATAGAACAGCTTGTCTTCAGAAGTTGTGGGTGCTTCATCACTGGAAGTTTTTAAGAAAAGACTGGACAGCCACCTGTCTGAAATGGTATAAGGTTTCCTGCTTGAGCAGAGGGTTGGACCAGTAGAGCTCCAAGGTCTCATCTAGCTTTATTCTGATCTTGTTTCCACAACAATAGCAATCTGCTTAGCTGTATTTACAGACCTTTGCAATCCGTTTTAAATCTATCATGATGCAGAGAAATCTGCTGTCTGTTGTAGTCTGGTGAAGGCACAAGGCTTTTTTTTTACTACTGCTGAGCTTGCTTGTTTGCAGTTTAGGAAACTCAGTTTCAGTTTCAGTTTTATTAAACTTGTATGCCGCCCTATTCCCAAAGGGACTCAGGGCGGCTAACAAACTGATAGGGAAAGGGGGCAATACAAAGAGAACAAACAAGACAACAACAAAATACAAAAGAACAGATTATAAAACTCCTCAACAGTCACAACAAATTCGAGTGTGGCTGGGAACTCATCAGCCCCAGGCCTGCCAGAACAGCCAGGTCTTGATGGCTTTGCGGAAAGCCTGAAGGGTGGTGAGGGTCCGAATCTCCACGGGGAGATCATTCCAGAGGGCCGGAGCAGCCACAGAGAAGGCCCTCCTCTGGGTGGTCGACAGTCGACACTGGCTAGCTGATGGAATCCGGAGGAGGCCTAATCTGTGGGATCTAATTGAAGGGAGGTAATTGGCAGGAGGCGGTCTCTCAAGTACCCAGGTCCGATACCATGTAGGGCTTTAAAAGTAATGACTAGCACCTTGAAGCGCATCCAGAGTCCAATAGGCAGCCAGTGCAGCTTGCGGAGGATAGGTGTAATGTGGGTGTATCTTGGAACACCCAGTATCGCTCGCGCGGCTGCATTCTGGACAAGCTGAAGTCTCCGAATGCTCTTCAAGGGCTGCCCCATGTAGAGCGCATTACAGTAGTAATATTACTCAAACTCATATTACTAAGTATCTAATAATGGTTTGCTCCAGTTGATACACAAGAATGAGGCAGTAATTTTAATCTTGTGGATTTGCTTGGTGATTGCTCCACAATTACTCAGCTTCCTCCAGGCTGGTTTTCCTCTAGAAGAGCTTTCTCCACCATAATAGCAGGTGATTCATCACACTTGGGAAGACATTAGAGTACTGGACCCAGGCCTAGAGAAAATCCAGAACTATTATTACTCCATTTCTAAGTCAAGAACACAAAAGAAGGAATCACCAGAGCAAAAAAGGAGAAGGAGCCAAATGCTGCAAAGTTCTTCCCTGTCTAAATGTTTAAGCTCTATGCCCCTCTATTTATCTATTTATCCACCCCAAACAAAATGTAATAATGGTGTATGTATTGATATGTATATATTAATTCTTTACATCCTCTTCACAGCCTTTCACTCCGTTCATAATGGACAGGTCTGCAGCACATGGGGTGCCTTTCACTTCAAGACATTTGATGGTGACATCTATAATTTTCCTGGAGTCTGCGATTACATATTTGCCTACCATTGCACAGAACCATTTGAGGACTTCAACATACAAATTAAACGCCAAACAGTGGGGAACACCACCACAATTAGCCATATCACTGTGATGCTGGCTGGAACATATTTTAAAATGGAAAAGGATCAAATTTTGGCAAATGACAAACAGTAAGTCCAGGAGTGGGCTTCAAATTTTTAGCAACAGGTTCTATGCCTGGTTGCTGGGTGGGTGTGGCCTAGTTGCCCTCCTGCACCATGGGGAGGGTATTTTCACCCTCCCTAGGCTAAGGAGGCTTTCCTCGAGCCTCCAGGAGGATGAAAATGGCCTCCCTCTGGACTCCAGAGGCCAGAAGCAGCCCCACTTCTGGAACTTCCAAGAGGCCTGTTTTTTGCCCACCCTGAGCCTCCATGTGGGCCCTGTACCCACATAGCATCCAAAACGGGGTGTATGGAGATTCCTGGGAGGGGCAGGGTGGGGTGGGTGGGGCCAGCCAGGGATGGGATTTGCAGGTTCACCGAACTGGGAAAAATCCTAGCTAGAGGATCGCCCAAATATGTGTGAACCAGCAGCAGCCCACCTCAGGTAAGTCCTTAGTTCTGCATGCTGAATAGTTATGTTTTGTGGAGATACTCATCTAGAATTCACAACATACTCTGAATGTTGTATTTCTCAAAATGTTCATGTAGAAGTATGGACTACAGACCTAGGCATCCACAAGAGATGGGTAAGAGAAGGGAAATCATACATTGTGACACAAACACAGCCTTTACATATTTGTATTCAACATTAGACCATAAATGCCAAAGAGCAGAAGAAGTATTGTGATAACACATATGCATATTCTGTCATCATCATGGTTAGTATTGACAAATATCACCAAACATGACTAAAGATGCAGATGTTTATAATGTCAAAACACTTGCAGATGAGTACAAGATTTGAGGACATCCTAAATGGCATTATTTCAAACATTCATGATGAAGACAAGTTAGATTTTTCTGATCAGTGTCCGTTGCTTCTAACTTTTGGAACATGAGTAAAGAAACAAACAGAATACCATGATAAGAAGTTATATACAGCATACATGTGGAAGAAAAGAAGTCCAAATATTTACATCATCTTATTAGATTACCTTTTTTTTCTGTTGTGAGTTTTAAATATAGGAAGGGTTGCAATCCTTAGGTGAGTTGATAGCTATGTGACCCAACAATCTGAAGAGGCTAGATAATGACTAGAAACAATTATCCATCAGAAACTGTTCTTCTAACCAATAGGAGATGACAAAAACAAATTACTGTAGTATTATATGGATTTGAAAGGAATAGGAAGTTTTGATTTTCGACGCTCTTTTTAGGCCATTTTTGAGGCCTTTGGGGGGAATTTTTTTCCAAAACGAGTGGCCTGAAAAAAAGCCTCAAAATGGCCTGGAAAAGCCTCAAAAATGGCCTGGAAAAAGTCTCAAAATTGGCCTGTAAAAAGCCTCAAAAACAAGCCAAAAAAAGCCTCAAAAATGGGCCCCAAAAGCCCTGAAAATGGCCCCAAAAAGCCCTGAAAACAGAGTGTGCAAAGGCCAAAAAATGGCCAGCGGGTGGAGTAGGGTTTCAGCAATATTTGGTCTATAAGAAGCACAGATATTTTCACCCCCTTTTAGGAGACAAAAAGGTGCATCTTATAGTCTGAAAAATACGGTAATCCTTAGAGCAATCTGTATAATGAATGTTGTAATGGTGCAATTGTTGGTGTACAGGTAGACCTCGACTTACAACCACAGTTGATTCCAAAATTTCCATTGCTAAGCAAGGTAGTTGTTAAGTGAGTTTTGCCCCATTTTTCGATCTTCCTTGCCACAGTTGTTAAATGAATCACTGTAGTTGTTAAGTGAACCACATGGTCATTAAATCCAATGGCTTCCCCACTGACTTTACTTTTCAGAAGATCGTAAAAGGTGATCACATGGCCTCAGGAAACTGCAACTGTCATAAATACATGCCAGTTGCCAAGCATCTGAATGTTGATCACTTAGGCCTTAGGGATGCTGCAATGGTCATAACTGTGAAAAAAGGGTCACTTTTTCAGTGCTGTTGTAACTTTGAATTGTCACTAAACAAATGGCTGTATGTCAAGGACTACCTGTACTCGCTTTATAAATAGCTGCTGATTTGAATGAAAGCAGAGACTTTCTTAATTACTATTTTTTTCTTCCCTCAACTTGTTAGGTTTCTCCATGAGTTTATTATCAAGTCTGTCACTGCATTATTTTATTGTTTTTCTAGTCATTCATAATTGAGTATTATCACAGCACTTGCATTAAAGTATAGTTCTAAAAATATTACAAGTCAGAATAAGTAGTGACTCTGTTGAAGGGCATTCCTGCCTCTTCATAATAGCCAACAACCTAGCAGAAATAGTCAGGAGCACTCAATGTAATATGAAAAAGTATCCTTAGAAAGTAGGAAGTAGAATAGAAATTGAGCCCATCTGACACCAGTTGATACATCTAAAGACAATGGTGGCTTTCAAACTACTATTTGCCTGTTTTGCCCATATATTTTATATTAACAATAATACAAAACATCATCAAGGCACCAATACCCCTTTTTTAAAAAAAAATGAAACCAGACTTGAATAAATACTGCATGCCTAAAATTCCAGGCAAAAAAAACCCGAGGCGTGTAGAAATATTGTGACCTACATGACACTCTGTATTTCTAATGCATTCTTATCAGGATTCAGTTACCTTACAATGGACCTGGATATGAAATAGAGAATTTTCTCAACTATATCAAAGTGAATGGTAAAAATGGTTTAACTCTAATGTGGAATAAACAAGACAGTCTAATGGTAAGTATATAATGATGTAGAACATAAATGTGAGCTGTAACAAAATAGGGATGGATGGATGGATGGAATCTAGTTTCAGATGCCAACGTCTTCCAAAATACTCTAAGCCATTCTCAGTTTTCTGTTTTTCTCTCTAGCACACTTCCTGCATTCTGCGATTTCTGATCACTCTCACTTCTAGAGCTCACTTCACACATAGAGAGACACACAGAGAGATAACTGAATTTAAGCCATCTTTATGCTTGATTCAGAGTTCTAAAAGCCAGAGCTAAGTGTACAATAATCGCATTGCACAACCATTGAAGATAACACTAGCTGCTTACTGGGCCACGGTTTTGCTTATGACACATAATTAAGGCTACACATGACTTGCAACCATATATGTCACAGATCATCCCTCTCAATGTAGATATGATCACTAAAATTCAAAAGTCAAGTTCATTTGCAAGGAGATTCTCTCAGAAGCGGCAGTTATATACTGAAATGTTCTCCCTCGGTGCTTGAGGGAACTTTGTTTCATCATCCAAATTGGGTAATAATGAAAAGAGATGGCTAAGCTGGAATATTAACTCTACATCTAAGTTCAGGTTTAATGTATCAAGCAAAGAGATGGCTCAAATTAAGAATTAATCAATTGGCAAACAAAGGTAATGTAATAATTAAATTAAGACTTCAACTGGGGAGTCCTGGGTTTAATCTCCATTGAAACATGGCTGAGGCAATCATTCTTCCTCTGTGGTTGGTCTATCTTACAAATTGTTATTATGGGATAAGCTTAAGGAATTATTCTCTATATAACATCAGGAGTTCTCAGAAAAAAAGTAGGATATAAATGCAATAAAATAAGATATTGAGCAGAAACACAAATACCAAAGTAATACTTGTTCCTCCTTTAACCTTCTCAGATTAGCTATAAAGACAAAGAATGTTCTTTCAAACGCTCTTATATACAGCTGTATGTAACTATTATGTTGCCAATAATGGTCCTAAATAATGGTCCTTTATTTAAAAACCCTTTCACACTGAAGTAAGCTACCAAGCATGTTTCTACACCTGACATTTTGTTTCTATTTTTAAAGATGAAAGCACATTTAGATTATATATTTAACATATACACAGGTCTGTATTCTCAAATTTTCATTGTCTGATAATTTATTAGCTGCATAGGTTGTAACCTTACTTGCAAATTTGGGGTTTGGGAGGTGTTTCCCTCCTCAAAATTGCAGAAATGACAAGGGATACAAAGGAGTTGCTTTTGTTAGGACTAATACATTGAAAAGTAGGTTGTTATGAATAATATTGAGCCTGGGACTCACAAAGGAAATCTCAAATTTCTATCCAATAAATTCACTTTGGATTGTTGAAATACAACTTTGATAGACACCATTTTGGTTTATCTAGTGCAGGCATTGCCTTGAATTTCCAATATTTATTAGAGAGGGTTAATCTATTACATGTTATCAACCTTCTCATATGTAATTTCAGCTGGAACTTGATAAAAAATATGCCAATCAGACCTGTGGACTTTGTGGAGATTTTAATGGCATGCCAAAGTACAAAGAATTTTATTTTGAGAGTAAGTATATCAAAAGGACTTATTGGATTTATTTATCACAGTTTACCCCTCTTTATTCAATGAATGCTACAGAACCATGCTGTAGTTTTTCATAATCCCGATTTTCAATACGGTGGAATAGCAAAAAACAAACAAACCTTTTTTCGCCTCAATATTTTGATCATTCATATTAACAGCCTGGTAATTTTGATACCTGTCATCTTTGGAAATTGGATGAATATTAGGTTCCATATTCACCAAAGCAAAGAAGTTCTTAAACTTTAAATGACCTCAAACTTAGAATTAGTACTTTAATCACCTTGTTCTCTGACTTAAGAATATCAAATCATTTGTGATTTCAAAATAATATGTAGATATTTTGTTATTTTAAGTTTGAAAGGTACAACTGTATGACATTTGGGACTAAAGATTTTTTTCCCGTCTTTAACCACAATATCAGGGTCATAAATTGTACTGAAAAGTTAAACAAACAAACAAAAATCCTATGTTATCCAGTGGCGAGGTACACTATAGTGGTATCCAGAAAAACTGCACATTGTCTATATAATTGCCAGGAATTAACCTGAACTCAAGAGTGTCTTTTCCTTTTTCCCATCTCCCCTTATTATACCACCTCATACTTTATGTATAGACAGATTCTGAACGGTCTACATCAATATAATTTTATATGAAAAATGTATATTCTCTCTCATGTATGAAAGTTGAGATGCTACAAACAGGAAATGACTCTTTAATTAATTAGGGATTGGATTTAGATTATTTTTGCTTTTCTGGAAGCACAAATCTTTAGATCTTGATCAACGTTCATAGCTAATTTGATATGGCTTTCCTGAAAGGAAAACTTAGACAGAGGTACTACTAGCTTACAAATCTCTATTATGACTTTATTTTTTGAAGATACCCCCTTAACAGACTTCCAGTTTGGGAATCAATGGAAGGTGGCTAGTCCAACAGAAGCTTGTGATGATCCTCTACCTCCTCCTCAGAAGAATTGCACTGATGAATACGTGAGAATTTTCTTTCTTATTCTTCTGCTTTGCATTTGTCTGATTTGCAAAAGGATTCTAGAATCTTACATTTAAAATTTATTAGTTGCCATTTCCTTGAAAATAATTGATTCTCTTTCAATCTGCTCCACAGCTGTATTATTATTATATTGTGTGATGGAAGGTAGAGAGGAGCTGAATTTCCAGGAGGGAAGGGATGCATTCCAGAGGAATAAGAGTCAAAATCAGTCCAGATGTTGTGAATGAGAAGAAGAGAGTGAAGACAACTCTGCCTTAATAGTTCACAGAGTATATTGTAGATACAGATAGTAGCATGCTCAGTCTGGCAAGATTTTGCCTATATGTGAAACAATAAACAACTCAGCTTGGAAGAATTACCATGTATTGATCTTGTTTTGGGGTCTGACATCTTAGGTTGGAATCTAACTTTGGAGCAAGGGCCAGGGACGTGCAGTCAGGGGAGGCAGGGGAGGCAGAGCCTCACCACTGTCGTCATGAAAAGAAAAGAAAATGTAAAAGAAAAAAGGTAAGAGCTGAGGTCAGGCTGAGCTAGTTGCTGCCAAAGTCACCATGGATGACTCTGCTTAGTGCTTAACTGATTAAAAAAGCCTCTTAAAGAGTACCCTCTACAGGAGGCAGCAGGAGAACGACATGCCTCATCTAGTCTGACTTTATGATCACTCGAGCAGAGTTAAGCAAGGGTTAAAAGCCGAAAAATTCCTGACGTAGATGAGGCACATCCTTCTCCCGCCTCCTCCTGTAGAGGGTGCTTTTTTAGAGGCTTTTTCAAACAGTTAAGCAGAATCATCCACACGGTGACTCTGGCAGCAACTAGCTCAGCCTGACCTCAGCTCTCGCCTTTTTCCTTTTACATTTTTTTTTCTTTTCATGACGGCAGGCAAGAGCAGAGTTGAAATCCTCTCTGAAACAGCTGGAAAAAGGTACGTGTGGGTCAGAGGGAGGAGGAGGAATTCAAACTTCATCCTCCTGGTGCAACTTTGTGTGTGTGTGTGTGTTTGAGAGAAGGGGAGGGAGCATATTGAGACAGTTCTTTAGTTTATGCACTATGTAACACTCTAATACTGTGCCTTTGGGTCTTCTGAAATTTTAATTATCCAATCATAAGCAAAAACAATGTTTTCAGTAGAATGAATTTCCACTTCTACGTACACCTGCCAGCCAAAATGCTGCTAGTGGTATTGCTAACATGGGCTGAGGAGGAAAACCTAAATTTTCTGAATCCTGGTGCAACTTTGTGTGTGTCTGTGTGTCTGTGTGAGTTTGAGAGAGGAAGGGAGGGAAGAAAGAGAGGAAGGGAGAAGAAAAAGAAAGAAGGAAACTTATTTAGCAAAGGAGAAAAACAAATGCTGTTGCTTTAAATCAGAACTAAGCATGCCTGGCTGTGGAATTCTGGGAGTTGAAGTCCACAAGTCTAAAATTGCTGCCTCACCAGCCATAAACCTCACCGCACGTCACTGGGAAGGGCTCATGTTACTGTGTAAAATATAGTGATCTAATCTATGATATAAGTATGAAAAATGAGGGTTTTTTTTAAAAAAAGGGAAAGTCCCCCATTTTAGAAGAAAATTGTGTCATAAAATCTTTTGCCTTTTGTTTTTCCATCTAGGATATTTGTCAGAAAATACTAACTGGTTCTGCATTTTCTGGATGTAATGATATTGTTGGTGTGGATAGCTACATTGATGCTTGTGTACATGACTTGTGTCACTGTGATGAAGTTGAAAAAGCCTCCTGTCTCTGTTACACTTTCACTGAATACTCTCGACAATGTGCTCATGCTGGTGGCCAACCTCAAAACTGGAGAAGTCCAGAACTATGCCGTAAGTGTAAACTTCTGCCAAACAAGTGACCAAAGTAATTTGAGTCTAATCTCTGCCTATGGACCACAGCTGCCAAACTCACGGCATCCCATTGCCATCATGTGACATTTCATGACGTTTTTTCCCTTAGCGGAGCTGGGGTGGGCGTGACCTTCACATGACACATCTGGCCCACAGCCCTCCAGTTTGACATCCCTGCTCTAGACTTTTCAGGATTCTGGATTCAGATTCGTTTTCTAGTTGAAAATATGGAAATAAAAAGGTGCTGCCAAAACAATGAATACATTTCTAATGCAACAGAAAACAATGAATAAATATTACATTACAAATAAAACATTGCATTTGACAGATCCCTGTACTAGTTATAGAGTTACACTATATTGCCAAAAGTATTCGCTCACCCATCCACATAATCAGACTCAGTTGTGAGAGAATACTTTTGGCAATATAGCGTATGAACAGCTTGAAGGGTCAGAGAAGATGCAAGTCTTACCTTCCCAGACAATATACAGTTCAAAGGGATTGGGAAAGTCACAAAGGCTACAAAATGAATCATTCTTCAAAAATACTAAAACATATTAGTACTATTCTTTAAGCAATGAAATGAAGAAAGCAATTGGATAAACAATTGGATATGTGCTTGTGTATGGCAAGCTCTGTTTTTTCTGCTCAGTTATTCAGCTCAGAGGAGAAACAACTGAACTGGGTTATCAGTCACTGAGGAATCATGTTCTTGCTTATATTGTTTCTGCTTTCAAGAAGTCTTGAACAATGAAGCATCAAAGGAAAAGGAGAGAAAGACTCAGAACAGATATCTTCTCTGTGTTGTTTGTCCATCAAAAAATAATAATGGATGTATATAAATTATAAACTATTTGGCTAGCATTCATAGACCATAAATAAAGAACATGAAATATATGCAAAAAACAAGAGACAGGTGGTAGGATGTGCTGTGTAGCCACTTTAATTTAAAAATGATTTCTGAAAACATAATACATTTCATTTAAAACCATTAATTATGAATGGCAGTTCAGTTGCTACCTGGGGTTGCATCCTATATTACTGCAATGTGTTGTACTTGGGGAGACTATCCAAATGCTGATAGTTTATAAAATATAGTGGCCCACCTGTTACCTGACACATTTCCCCAGTAAACATTATACCTGTGCTGTGACCCCTGCATTGGCTTCAAGTAGGCTTCCAAGTGCAAAATGAAATGCTGGTTTTGCTGTATTAAGACCTATATTTTTGGCACCAACATATTCTCAGAATTCCATTCTTCAGCCTGGACTGATTGTATCAAGAGAAACTATATTGGTTCTCTCCATAAAGTAAGGGGGACTGAAACAATGAGGTGCTATTTTTCCATTGCAGCTTCAAGTAATCTTCTGGCAGAGATCAGGCCAATCCTCTGTTTTCAAATGATGCTGAAAACTGAGCTCTTCCACGGAGTTTTTGTAGTATGAGCAATTGCTTTTCCTGTTTGTTGATTTTGGTTGGGATATTATGATGATGTTGATGATTAAGATGCAATTGTCCTGTTATCAGGGATGTCTTATCTCATGTATCTTTGTTAACTGCTGAGAGTTCTTTTAAATTATGGCATGTTGCAAGTCTAATGAAGAACATGATACATACATGTTACTGATAATGATTCTCTGTCCAGCTTATTTTTATGACCACCATGCTGTGTGGAGAACTGACCTGGTCTTACTGTTTTTATTTCAGCAATATCATGCTCTTCGGGTATGCAATATCAAGAATGTGGATCACCTTGTGCAAATACTTGTACTAATTCTGAAAGATCTCATATCTGTGAAGATCACTGTGTAGACGGCTGCTTTTGTCCACCAGGTGAGCTGCCATCTTCAGCGTAAATTATTCTGTTACCAAGGGGGGAAGGAATTGTGAGGATATGGAGCTGGCTACAGCACGGAAACTGCTTTGGTCGTGCTGATCGATGATCTCTGGCGAGCCAGATAGGGTCAGATAGGGGTCAGTCCTCTATCCTAGTGCTCCTTGACCTCTCAGCGGCCTTCGATACCATCAACCATGGTATCCTTCTGCGACGGTTACGAGAGGTGGGAGTGGGAGGCACCGTTCTTCAGTGGTTCTCCTTCTACCTCTCGGACAGGTCGCAGTCAGTGTTGGTCGGATGACAGAGGTCGACCCCTAGGCCCCTCAATTATGGGGTGCCGCAGGGCTTGGTCCTGTCCCCCCTCCTATTTAACACCTACATGAAGCCGCTGGGTGAGATCATACGGCGGTACGGGATTAAATACCACCAATACGCAGACGATACACAATTGTATCTGTCCGCCCCGTGCCAACTCAGTGAAGCAGTAGAAGTGATGGGCCAGTGCCTGGAGGCTGTCAGGGTCTGGATGGGAACGAACAAGCTTGCACTCAATCCCGATAAGACCGAATGGCTATTGATGTTCCCTCCCAAAGATTGGCAAATTATTCCATCTCTCAGTCTGGGGGGTGAAATTATACGCCCCTCAGAGAGAGTTTGCAATTTGGGAGTCCTCCTGGATCCACAGCTGACTTTAGATCACCAGTTGTCGGCTGTTACCAGGGAGGTCTTTGCCCAGGTTCTCCTGGTGCACCAATTGCGACCCTACCTGGACCGGGAGGCACTTCAGATAGTCACTCACGCCCTTGTCACCTCAAGACTGGATTACTGTAATGCGCTTTACATGGGGCTGCCCTTGAAAAGTGTTCGAAGACTTCAGCTAGTCCAGAATGCAGCCGCGCGAGCGATTGTGGGTGCACCTAGGTACACCCACGTTACACCTATCCTCCGCGAGCTGCACTGGCTGCCCATTGGTCTCTGGACTCGCTTCAAGGTGCTAGTCGCTACTTATAAAGCCCTACATGGCATCAGACCTGGGTACCTGAGAGACCGTCTCCTGCCAATTACCTCCCAAAGACCAATTCGATCGCACAGGCTTGGCCTTCTCCGGGTTCCATCTGCCAGCCAATGCCTTCTCTGTTGCTGCTCCAGGTCTCTGGAACGAGCTCGCCATGGAGATCCGGACCCTTACTACCCTCCCGGCCTTCCGTAAAGCTACTAAGTCCTGGCTGTTCCGGCAGGCTGGGGGTTGTTGAAGTACCCACCCCCGTTTCAATTGTGTCTGTTGTGGATTTTTAATATTGTTTGTATTGTCTTATTTATCCCCCCCCCCTGTTTATTGTGAGCCGCCTGGAGTCCTTCGGGAGTGGGCGGCATACAAAACCAATAAACCTAACCTATTAAACCTAAGTATGTATACTGTACTACTGTGCCACAAACACAATAATAAAATAGTACTGTCTATTATATATACTCCCTTCTGAACTTTCTAAAAAGAAATTTGTGTAAAAGAATTTTAATGAAAATGAAATGAAATTGTATTGGCACAGGTTGAAAATCCATTATGATTTATTTTTCCCCATAGGAACTGTTTTGGATGACATCAATGGCAAAGCCTGCATCCCTTTTGAGCAATGTTCCTGCATTTATAATGGAGAATCCTATTCTCCAGGGATGACATATTCAGATCCATGCCGTTCCTGGTAATTAATATCTTTTGGTACATTCAACCAATGCTTTGTGCAGGGATCTAGTTTTCCTCGGTGATGTCAATATTTTTTAATTTGTAATTCCTGATTTTAGGCTCTGATCTAAAGTCCATACTTCCATTTAACCTTTCAGATTGCATATATTACTTCTGGCTATTAACCTATCCTTCAGACTAGTTCAAAAGAAAGATTCTGCTGGATTTTTGAATTTAGCTGGGTAACTAAAGAACAGCACTTAACTAATAAACATATTGTTAAACTAAGACTTTTTAGGAGAAAGAAGAAAATGGATTCCACCTTTTGCCAGTATTGCTCACTGTGACTGTCAAAAACTTTGCAAGATCAGAGACAAAGGCTTTCGCACACTTGCAGCTATTACCTCTCCTGGTAATTGTTCCAAATGTACAGTAGAAGACAACACATATTTTTATTAGTTGATAAATATTTAGAAATCTCAAAAAGAATGGCAAAATATTGCTCAATCATAGTTGCAATACGGAAACATTAAGCACTGTCATATCGTTCCATGCTGGAAGATAAGCTATATATTTTTCTCTTTAATATTTAAGTGTATAGTTTCACATTAATGTTTGATATTATATTTTGTCTCGCAGCATAAATAAATAAACCTACATGTAAACGTTTGTTGCATTCTATTAGTTTTTGAGAAATGAAACTATGATCATGTAGTAGATCATGCCTAACATAGCTTTTGAATTTACAAGATAATATTCATTGACTCAATCAAACTAAGTTTCTACATTTATATATTCAGAATGGGGATTTAATTGATACCATAGCAAAATAATACAAGTTAAGTAAAGTACTTTTCCTTCAAAGTTAAATCCCTAATTTTAGATTCTCTCTCCTCCAGTGTGTGCAGTGGTGGTGCGTGGAATTGCACAGAGCTTCCTTGTCGTGGTATTTGCTCAATAGAAGGAGGATCACATATCTCCACCTATGATGAAGTGTGGTATAATTTCCATGGAAAGTGTACTTATATTCTAACTAAGGCAAGTCATCTAAGATTTCACATTAGCAAAAATGTCTTTAGGTACACAACCTAAACCTGAGCTTCTATTTTTGGAATCATAAAATTATATGTATTGTTCCGGATGTTAATTCATTGGCTATAAATATGACATGTGATTTATCCATTTTCTATTTCTAGATTTTATTTATATCTTGCAGCTTTCCCTATAAAATGGTAGTTTTCTTTTACATTTGTACATGAAATAGAGGAGCTCTTGGGTGATGGAGAAGAACTTCACCAAGCTATTGTTTTCTTTCCAGGAAATGTAAATGATAACCATTTAAAACTGATTAATTAATTACTATATTAGTGGGATTAATTAATTACTATATTAGTGGGATCCAAAAGCTGATAGAACTCTGTATGCTACTCAGTAAAGTGATTTAATAATGAAAACTAAATTAAGCTAGCTAGGAAGAGCCTGAACAATTCGGGAAATGCTCTAACTTAATCTGGCTCTCAGTTCTTTGTTCTAATAAAATTATGAAAAAGAAAATAAATGAGAATTTCCTGTTTTTCCAACCAAACAGACTCAAATTATTCCCTTTCTTTGCAAAAAATTACTATAGAAGTTATTCCAAAATGTTTTTAAAGTAGCATCCTTGAAATCTGTCTATTTTGTTATTATCTTTTTCCTGGTCTCTCTTCCCCAGATGTGTGACGAAGAAACCTTTACTGTTCTTGGTGAGCTTGGGCCATGTGGCATCACAGATTCTGAGAGCTGCTTAAAATCGGTGACTCTAACCATCAATCGAGGAGAAACTGTAAGAACCGTAATGAATCAAAATGGCTCTGGTGCCATTGAATTCAGAATCCGCATGTAATCATTAGGCTTGCCTACCAATCTAAAAAGTACCTTTTGCTGACAAAATCATGATATATCTAATAAGCAGAATTCACTTCTTTTTTTATATTTAAACAAGAATTTCATTGCTAGAAGTAAAATGAAGCAGCTTTTAAACTTTGGATTACAGCAGTTAAATTTCCTTTTCCTCTTAAGTTAATAGTTCAATTAAATTCCTGTCAACAAATAAACCAAATTAAATTAAATAATTTATTTAAATATGAATTGATGAGAAGAGAGAATTTTACTTAACACTTGTAATGTCTCTCCCTTCTTACCTTTCCTTCTGCCTACTTTCCCTCCCTTCCCATATAATTCATTTGCAAACATATTCACATCGATATATATATGAATAACATTAATATGTAGCTGTTAATGTACTCTTGAGGAAAACAAAATAAAACACTGTGTGGAATTGGACATTGCTCACTCCTGCTCATAGACCATTCCCCTTCAAAAAAGGGAAAAATGGCTTCCAATAGTTTCTGTCACCTCTAAAAATCTACCTGAAGAGATGAAAGATACTTTGGAAGAGCATAGGAAATATCACAGTAGATTACCAAAAGAATTGTTCATGGAGGATGAATTTGCATATGATAGGATGAATGGTAACTGTTTTATAAATCCTGCCCTGTACACATTTCCAGAAGCTGTAAACTTCTCTTTACTGTAATGAAAGGATTGGAGAGAGTTAGATATTTAGTGCTTTGAATATCTCTCTCTCTCCCTCTCTCTCTCTCCCTCTCTCTCTCTCTCTCTCTCTCACACACACACACACACACACACACACACACACACAC